TGCTCTTCTGAGTAGATCTGAACACATGTTGTTTCTCTAAGACTTTTAGAATTCTTCTGCTGGAACCCCGTCTTGTGTACCTTGTGTTAACAGACATTTGTATTTTTTCGAGTAATACAACATCAGATTAGAAAAAAAATGAAATCTAGGAAGAGTATTTACAAGGTAATTTTAGACAGTTCACAATGGTCTGCAAAAGCGAGAACCTTTTCTCTTTATGTTAAGTGACAATAAGTAATTAGCATTTTTTTCTTACTTGAATTAACGGAAGAAATGGGGAAATGGGAGTCAAATGTAGTAAACCAGAATCATAGTCTCCATGCAGGCATAGGAGAGGCAGGTGGGTTCTTGGGCTGGCCAGCCAAACTGAACTATTTAGCAAGTTTCATGCCAGTGAGAGTTTTCACCCCCAAAATATAAAATATAAATGAATTTGGTATTTAACTAATAACTCCTGATGTTGTTCTCTGACTTATATATACACTTGTACACATAGGGAAAAAAATACAAACACATACACTGTCACACTTAAGAGAAAGGAGATAGAATATTGTTATTTAATTGGTTAGAAAATACAGGTGTTTAAAAATATTCATTGGCCATGACAGGTTTCAGAAGAATAAAGTATAAAGCTTAGAGATCAATGTTGAAGAAATTAAGAAGTGGTAATTTACTGGGAACACAAGTGTCAATTTCTTCAAATTGTAGCAACTTCAGAATGAAGAAAGAAATGTTTTTTTTAAGTAATTCTTCTTTAAACTTTTATTAATTATACTTTATTCACTTTGTGTCTCCCCATAAGCCCTTCCCTCCTCCCCTCCCAATCCCACCTTCCCTTCCCCTTCTTCATGCATACCCCTCCCCAAGTCCACTGATAGGGAGGTCCTCCTCCCCTTCCCTCTGATCTTAGTCTATCAGATCTCATCAGGAGTGGCTGCATTGTCATCTTCTGTGGCCTGGTAAGGCTGCTCCCCCCTCAGGGGGAGGTGATCAAAGAGCAGGCCAATTAGATTATGTCAGAGGCAGTCTTTCTTCCCATTACTATGTAACCCACTTGGACACTAAACTGCCATGGGCTACATCTGTGCAAGTTGTTTGTTGTTTTTGTTGTTTCTTCAGGCATGTACATGAGTTTTCCTATTTGATTATTTGACTTCAAAACATTACTCTTGTTTTGAAAGAATCCTTTGGCCAATAGTTTTTAAATGAAGGAAGCTGTGCTACATTTCTGGGCTTACATCTTGGGTTTAGAATGTATTAACACTGTTTCTCCATTGTCTCCCAGTGATATGTTCATTAATGGAGAGCAGTAAGATCATGCTGCCTAAGTATCTTCACTGTCCTCCTTTACCATCTCTGCTATTTGATGATGCAGCCTTCAATAAATGGCTAAGAAATTTTGCTGCTCTGGAAGGAGCCTCATCTCAGTTGTTCTTTATGCTCAGAAAGTCCAGTATTTATAAATAAGTCTTTAAAACCTAATAGAAATATTTAATTTAGCCTTTTGGGTAAGATTTGTATAACTGTTTTGAAACAGTATTGTAGCAAATATGGAGTGAACACCTAAGAAATTTAATATATATTCTTACAGTTAATATAGGGGAGAACATGGGGGTAAAGGGAAGGAAGAGGACAGGGAGGAGATGAGGGAGGGGGCTACAGCTGAGAAACAAAGTGAATAAATTGTAAATAATAAGAATAAGAATAAGGAAAAATGTTTTTCATATACCATTTTCCCAACAGTTATTGTGAATCAAGGATTTTGCATGTTTTATTAAAACCATGTATAGTTGAAAATATAACCTAGGAACCTCCCACAGAAGGCCTCTGAAAGCTCTGCCCTGCAGACTGTCAAAGCAGATGTTGAGTCTTATGGCCAACTGTTGGGCAACATGCAGGGAATCTTACGTAAGGAGTGGGAAAGAGTAAGATCTGGAGAGGATGGGGAACCCCACAAGGAGAGCAACAGAACCAGAGAATTTGAGCACAGGGGTCTTCCCAGAGACTTATATTCCAACCAAGTACCTGGTATGGAAATAACCTAGAACCCCTGCACAGATGTAGTCCATGGCAGCTTAGTGTCCAAGTGGGTTACATAGTAATGGGAAGAAGGACTGCCTCTGACATAATCTGATTGGCCTGCTTTTTGATCACCTCCCCCTGAGGGGGGAGCAGCCTTACCAGGTCACAGAAGATGACAATGCAGCCATTCCTGATGTGATCTGATAGACTAAGATCAGAAGGAAAGAGAGGAAGACCTCCCCTATCAGTGGACTTGGGGAGGGGCATGCATGAAGAAGAGGGAGGGAGGGTGGGATTGGGAGGGGTGGAGGGAGGGCCTTATGGGGGATACAAAGTGAATAAACTGTAATTAATAAAAATAAATAAATTTTAAATAAAGAAAATATAAGTAATAGTGGCAGGCCATAAATCATTCTAGTATACTTACATTCTAGTGTATGGTTTTGCAGTTAGTAGTAATTCTATATGTTTATTTATAAACATCAAAACAATAGGTAACTAAAGAGAAAGTCTAAGTTAGACAGTGATAGTGGATGTGTGTCTTATACTATCAACTAATCTGCAATAAACTGAATGACACTGCAATCATGGTGCAAAGCACAGTTGATTTTCTAAAGCTCTATAGGTGACATTGGTAAGAAAATATAATTAATGATATCCATAAATTTTATAAAAGGAAGAACAAAGATATTTGTGTGCATTACTTACTACTCTTAGACTATGAAAATTCCTCAGATGAAAATCGACTAGCAAATATATACATGCCTACGTATGCATATGTATGAACATATATGTATGCATACACATTTTTATATCAGAAAAATAAAGTCAGAAATCATATTTGTTAAAAATAAGCATTTACATTATAAATTATATAATAGTGATTTGGTTTTATGGTCAAATGTTCTTAGTTAGTTACATATTTTACTATGTTTTAAATCTGTTTAGCCTTTCTTTTGTTAATTCTTTATTAATTACACTTTATTCACTTTGTATCGCTCCATTTGGTTCTCTCCTCTCTCCCATCCCAATCCCTCCCTTCCTCCCCCCTCTGCATGCATGCCCCCTCCCAAGTCCACTGAGAGGGGAAGTCTGTTTAGCTTTTCTTATTTTAATTTTATTTTGTTCCTTTGTTAACTAAGGATTTTGTAGACAATTTATTTTGATTGTGTTTTGTCTCCTTCCCTGACTCTTCCTAGATATTCCTAAACTCTCTAGTCATTCAACTTCAGATTGTTTCTCTCCCAAAATGAAAATCCAAACAAACAAACAAGAGCCAATAAATACAATAAATACCCAAACAAAATAAAAAGGCCACATACACAAAACAAAACATATCATTTGTTCAGTGTCCTTCAGATTTAAATTGCCAGGCTTTGCCTTGCTTTTTAGGCTAAGACACACGTCTGGAGTCATGAAAGTTTGCAGAGTACTTAAATTTCTGCAAATCTTTTTGTTGTTGTTGGTTTTTTTTGTTGTTTTAATTTCAGAAGTTCTATTAGTGACAGAGCCAAATAATTAAAACATTGTTTAAACATTTTTGTGTTTATTGCTTCATTTTTGTTGAGAATGTAACTGTCTATATCTTATGACTACTGTTATTATTCGTGTGTTGAATCAGTAAATTAATGAAGAATTCAACAAGGACCATGCTTAAAAATTTAAAGATGGTTGTTTCAGAGCAACAAATGGAAATAAAATGATTGCTAGGGCTTCTGTGCTTGTGTGCTCATGCGATCAAAGGTAAGGTTTGTGCTTTACAATCCGGGAATTTCAGTAGATACTGAATTCTGCATCATGGATATGGTCTAACATCCATATGCTCAAGATAGCTTGCTTGCGTAGGACATGTTCACGTGCAATGAAGTTTACAGTGATGCTGACTCACCTACCTCTCCTTAGGGAGAATCATCTAAACCTGGTCAACTCTTTCACTAGTTCAGTTTGAAAATACAACAACTGCATGGTCTCTACCCATACTGTTATTACAAAACTAAAATTTATTGAAAAATCAGTTTGAATTCTTTGCATGAAACAGTGACACATGGCTTTATTACTGTGAGCTATCAAAGCCAGCATATGCTACTCTTCTTATGACATTATTCTCCTCATTTTCACTACTAGGCACCAATTAGTTTAATCCATTAGTTTAATCCTATGAATCATGAGGATACAAGGAACAGTTAAAGCGTGCTGTCATTGTCAATATGTAAACATTTCACATTCTGAGCAAGGGCTACATCTGAGCAAGGTGTCTAGGTCCTCTTCATGCATGGTCTTGGTTGGTGCATCAGTGTCTGCAGGCACACCTGGGACCAGATTTGTTGGCTTTGCTGGCCTCCCTGTGTACCACTTTGGAATTCAATATGGCTCTTTTACAGAAAATTGGGAATAACATCACCCCAAGACCTAGCTATACCACCACTCCTGGGCATATATTGGAAATATGCTATAATGTACAACAAGGACATTTGCTCAACTATGTTCATTGCAGCTTTAGTTGTAATAGCCAGAATCTGGAAACAACCTAGATGTCCCTCAGCAGTTAAAGTGTGCTGTCATTGCCAAAATACAAATATTGCACATTCAGTCAGAACCAATGCGTTGCAGAATCTGACCATTAAGAAACAAGATAAAATTTCAAAATATTAGATTAAAAAAAATAAATTTTCTATACTCAGTGACTTAAGAAGTACGCAAAAAAAAATTATTTTAAACTGAAAATGTTTGAAATTTTTTAAAGTCTTTTCTGATAGCAAAATAAAATTTAGAAAAGTTCCAATCTCTAAAACTATATATTCGTACAAATGTGTACAAGGAATTAATTTATCACCGTCATCCAATACAGTTATTTCCTACCCTGAAAACACAAAATCAAACAGTACAGTGGCAGAAACTGGCAGAGATAGTGTTGATTACCTCAGATGGATGGATGGATCCTAACATAGTTTTGTCTCTCATTACCAGGGGCACTGCACATGTTGTTGGTGTCAAACCTCTTCCTGTGGGAGAATGTGGCCTCTGCACCCACGAAAAGCACCGGATGTAGCTTTAGTGAAATGGTCACCGTAGACCTTTTTGATGACGTCATCATACTGTCTGAACACATCAATGTCATGTCTAAAGATACATTCAGGAAATTTGTAAGTACCTCCGTGGCTTCAGGCATCTTTCAACAATGAATGTGGATGAGTTCTGGCAGCGCCATATAGTTTAATAGACATCATCATGAGTCAAATTTTAGGTAAGACAACTTCACATATCAAATAAGGCACCAACCTTTGTAAAGCGGAGCAAGGGGGACAGGGCAATAATTAATTAAGTCATTTACAACAAATGACTTATTTAATAAAGATGTGCACAGTGAATGGAATAGAACTAAATTAAACTGCAGTAGACTCACGACAGTACAAAAAAATTAAAATAACAGATTTTCAGAAACCATTAATGTTTGAAAACATTGTTTAAGCTATTCCAATGCATACCTGTATGTAATGCTTAGATAATAGGAGGGCTGGACAAACAAGCTCTCTTCCTGATAATTACATGTTTTGTGGTCAAGATAAATCAGAATCAGGGAGGAGAAAAGAGATAAAACTTGAGTGCCACAGTGGACATCCTATAAGAAGTATGTCTACAACAGCATTAAGTGTATATTTACTCTATCTCCTTCTCCTAGTCTGCAGAAAGGGGGTGTTCTTCACTATTGCCATCTGCCCATAGCTTATCAAGTCTCATCATGACTTTCTGAACCCAATTCCTCTGTAGGCTGGCAAAGTATCATCTCCAGGGGCAAGTGATCAAAGAGCAGGCAACTGAGTTCATGCCAGAACTTGCTCTCCTTACTCCCCTTGCTCCCCTTACTCAGGCACCCACATGGAGACTGAGCTGCTAATCTGCTACATCTGAGCAGGAGGTCTACGTTCTCTCTATGCATAGTCCTTGGTTGGTGCAACAGTCTCTGCTGGACCCCTTGGACTTTGTTGGTCTCTTTGTGGGCTCCTGTCCTCTCCATGTCCTTCTATCCTTCCTTCTTCCATAAGACTCCTTGTGCTCTGCCCAAAGGTTGGCTGTCAGTTTTAGCATCTGCTTCAATTCCCTGTTAGGCAGAGCCTTTCTACCTAGCTATTAAAAACAAGGAAAACAATAAGTATGCAGGCAATTTATGGAACTAGAAAAGATAACCCTGAATGACTGAGAAACAGAAAGGCACCCATGGTATACACTCACGTATAAGCAGATATTAGCCCTATTCTATAGAATAGCCATACTAAAAGCTACAGACCTAAAGAAGCTAAACAATAAGGAGGACCTTAAGAAGAATGTTTAAATCTCACTCAGAATGGCAAGCAGGATAGACACCAGAAGCAGTGGAAGAGAGGAAACATGATGGGAGCCTACTACAGAGGGTCCCCTAAAAGGCTCATGCTTATTTTTTTCTTTATTAATTACACTTTACTCACTTTGTATCTCCCCCGGGGTTCCCTCCTTCCTCCCACCCCAATCCCTCCCTTCCTCCACCCTTTACCTGCATGCCCCTCCCCAAGTCCACTGATAGGGGAGGAATTCTTTTCCTTCCTTCTGATCCTAGTCAATTAGGTCTCATCAGGAGTGGCTGCAGTGTCTTCTTCTGTGGCCTGGTAATGCTGCTTCCCCCTCAGGGGGAGGAAATTAAAGAGCAGGCCAATCAGTTCATGTCAGAGACAGTCCCTGTTCCTATTACAATGGAACCAACTTGGATACTGAACTACCATGGGCTACATCTGTTCAGGGGTCTTACACAATGGAACCCACTTGGATACTGAACTACCATGGGCTACATCTGTTCAGGGGTCTTAGGTTATCTCCACGTATAGTCCTTGGTTGGAATAGCAGTCTCAGGAAAGACCCCTGTGCTCAGATTTTTTGCTTCTGTTGCTCTCCTTATGGAGTTCCTGTCCTTTCCAGATCTTACTATTTCCCACTTCTTTCCTAAGATTCCCTGCACTCTGCCCAAAGGTTGCCCATAAGTCTCAGTATCTACATTGATAGTCTACAGGGCAGAGCTTTTCAGAGGTCCTTTGTGTCAGGCTTCTGACTTGTTCCCTCTTTTCTCCTTATTCTGATGTACAGCCTCTTTGCCTTTCTGGATAGGAATTGAGCATTTTAGCAAGAGTCCTCCCTCTTGATTAGTTTCTTTAGGTGTACAGATTTTAGTAGGTTTATCCTATATTATATGTTTATATGAGAGAGTATATACCGTGTGCATCTTTCTGCTTGTGTAATAGCTCACTCAGGATGATCTTTTCCAGATACCACCATTTATCTGCAAATTTCATGATTTCTTTGTTTTTTATTGCTGAGTAATATTCCATTGTGTAGATGTACCATAATCTGTGCATCCTTTCTTCAGTTGAGCGGCATCTGGGCTGTTTCCAGCTTCTGGCTATTACAAATAAGGCTGCTACTAACATGGTTGAGCAAATGTCCTTATTCTGTACTTGAGAATCTTTTGGATATATGCCTAGTAGTGGTATAGCTGTATCTTGAGGAAGCGCTATTCCTAGTTGTCTGAGAATGCGCCAGATTGATTTCCAGAGTGGTTGTACAAGTTTACATTCCCAACAGCAGTAGAGGAGGGTTCCCCTTTCCCCACAACCTCTCCAGCATGTGTTGTCTCTTGAGTTTTTGATCTTAGCCATTCTGATGGGTGTAAGGTGAAATCTTAGGGTCCTTTTGATTTGCATTTCCCTCATGGCTAATGAGGTTGAGCATTTCTTTAAATGTTTCTCTGCCATTCAATAGTCCTCTGCAGAGAATTCTCTGTTTAGCTCTGTACCCCATTTTTTAATTGGATTACTTGATTTTTTGCTGTTTAACTTCTTTAGTTCTTTATATATACTAGATATTAGCCCTCTGTCAGATATAGGATTGGTGAAGATCTTTTCCCAATTGGTAGGCTGTCGTTTTGTTCTGAGGACAGTATCCTTTCCTTACAGAAGCTTTTCCGTTTCATGAGGTCCCATTTATTGATTGTTGCTCTTAGAGCCTTTGCTGTTGGTATTGTGTTCTGGAAGTTGTGTCTTGTGCCAGTGAGTTCAAGGCTCTTCCCCACTTTTTTTTTTATAACCTATTTAATGTGTCGGGTTTTATGTTGAGGTCTTTGATCCACTTGGTCTTCAGTTTCATGCAGGGTGATAACTATGGATCTATCTTCATTTTTTTACATGTAGACATCCAGTCAGACCAGCACCATTTGTTGAAGATGCTGTCTTTTTTCCATTGAATGAATTTGACATCTTTGTCAAAAATCAGGTATACATAGTGTGTGGATTTATGTCAGGGTCTTCTATTCGATTCCATTGATCTACCATTCTGTTTCTATGCCAGTACCATGCAGCTTTTAGTATTGTTGCTCTGTAGTACAGCTTGAGATCAGGGATGGAGATACCTCCTGAAGATCTTTTACTATAGAGAATTGTTTTAGCAATTCTGGGTTTCTTGTTGTTTCATATGAAGGTGAGAATTTTTCTTTCATTGTCTGTAAAGAATTGTGTTGGTAATTTGATGGGAATTGCATTGAATCTGTAGATTGCTTTTGGTAAGATGGCTATTTTTATTATATTAATCCTGCCAAGCCATGAGCATGGGGGATCTTTCCATCTTCTGAAATCTTCTTCAAATAATTTCTTCAGAGACTGGAAATTTTTTTCATACAAGTCTTTGACTTGCTTGGTTAGGTTCACACCAAGGTACTTTATGTCCTTTGTGGCTGTTTTGAAGGGTACTGTTTCCCTAATTTCTTTCTTGGCCTTTTTGTCCTTTGTATACAGGAAGGCTACTGATTTTTTTTGAGTTAATTTTGTATCCAGCCACTTTGCTGAAGGTGTTAATTAGCTGTAGGAGTTCCTTGGTAGAGTTTTTGGGGTCACTCAGGTATACTATCATAACATCTGCAAATAGTGATACTTTGACTTCTTCTTTTCCAATTTGTATTCACTTGATATCCTTCAATTGTCTTATTGCTCTAGCTAGGACTTCAAGAACAATCTTGAAAAGATATGGAGAGAGTGGACAGCCTTGCCTTGTCCCTGATTTCAGTGGGAATGATTTAAGTTTCTCTCCATTGAGTTTGATGTTGGCTATAGGCTTACTGTATATCTCCTTTACTATGTTCAGGTATGTACCTTGTATCTCTCATCTCTCCAATACTTTAAACATGAATGGATGTTGGATTTTCTCAAATGTCTTTTCAGCATCTATGGAGATGATCATGTGGTTTTTCTCCTTCAGTTTTTTTATGTGTTGGATCACATTGATGAATTTCTGTATATTGAACCACCCCTGCATGCCTGGGATGAAGCCTACTTGGTCGTCGTGGATGATATCTTTGATGTGTTCTTGGATTCAGTTTGCAAGCATTTTATTGAGTATTTTAGCATCAATGTTCATGAGGGAGATTGGCCTGAAATTCTCTTTCTTTGTGGGTCTTTGTGAAGTTTAGGTACCAAGGTGGCTTCATAGAATGAGTTTTATAGTGCTCCTTCTGTTTCTATTTTGTGGAATAGTTTGAAGAGTATTGGTATTAGCTCTTCTTTGAAGGTCTGGTAGAACTTGGCGCTGAAACCATCTGGCCCTGGGTTTTTGTTTTTGTTTTTTTTTTTTTTTTTTTTTTTTTTGCATGGTAGACTTTTGATGACAGCTTCTATTTCCTTAGGGGATATAGGACTATTTAATTGGTTTACCTGGTCTTGATTCAGCTTTGGCATGTAGAATGGGTCAAGAAAATTGTCCATTTCATTTGGATTTTCTAATTTTGTGTCATATAGACTTTGGAAGTAAGACCTAATTATTGTTTGGATTTCTTCAGTGTCTGTGGTTATATCCCCCTTTTCGTTTCGGATTTTGTTGATTTGGATAGTTTCTCTTTGCCTTTTAGTTAGTTTGGCTAAGGGTTTGTCTATCTTGTTGATTTTCTCAAAGAACCAGCTCTTGGTTTTATTGATTCCTTGAATTGTTTTATTTGTTTCTAATTTATTGATTTCAGCCCTGAGTTTGATTATTTCCAGCTGTCTATTCCTCTTTGGTGTGTCTGCTTCTTTTTTTTTTCTAGGGCTCTTAAGTGAGCCATTAAGTAGCTTGCATGAGATGTTTCAAATTTCTTTTTGAAGGCACTTAGTGCTATGAACTTTCCTCTTAGCACTGCTTTAATTGTGCCCCATAAGTTTGGGTATGTTGTGCCTTCATTTTTATTGAATTCCAAGAAGTCTTTAATTTCTTTCTTTATTTCTTCTCTGACCCAGCTGTCATTTAGAAGTAAGTTGTTCAGTTTCCATGTGTTTGTAGGCCTTTTGGTATTTTTGTCATTGAGGTCCAGTTTTAGTCTATGGTGATCAGATAGGATACAAGGGATTATTTAAAACTTCTTGTATCTGTTTAGGCTTGCTTTGTGACCAAATATATGGTCTATTTTAGAGAAGGTTTCATGAGGTGCTGAGAAGAAGGTAAATTCTTTTGAATTTGAGTGAAAGGTTCTGTAGATGTCTGTGAGGTCCATTTGATTCATGACCTCTGTCAGAGTTATTGTTTCTTTGTTTAATTTCTGTTTTGTTGACCTGTCCTTTGTTGAGAGTGGGGTGTTGAAGTCTCCCACTATTATTGTGTGGGGGTCTATGTGTGATTTAAGTTTTATTAAAGTTTCTTTTACAAATGTGGTTGCCCTTGCATTTGGGGCATAGATGTTCAGGATTGTGATATCTTCCTGGTGGATTTTTCTTTTGATGAGTATGAAGTGTCCTTCTCTATCTCTTTTGATTGATTTTGGTTGGAAATCTACTTTATTAGATATTAGGATGGCTACTCCTGCTTGCTTCTTGGTTCCATTTGCTTGGAAAACCATCTTCCAGCCCTTTACTCTCAGGTAATGTCTATCTTTGTGACTTAAATGTGTTTCTTGTATGCAACAGTTTGTTGGGTCTTGTTTACACATCCATTCTCTTAGTCTGTGTCTTTTTATTGGAGAATTGAGTCCATTGATGTCGAGGGAGATTAATGACCAGTGTTAGATACTTTGATATTGATGTTGGCCATGGCAGTGTGTTTGTGTGTTTGGCTACTTTTGTTTTAGTGTAGTGAGGTTATTTATTTCTTATGATTTCTTGAAAGTAGTTAGTTTTCTTAGGTTGTATTTTTCCTTCTAGTATCTTCTGCAATGCTGGATTTGTGTGTAGGTATTGTTGAATTTTTTTTTTTTTTTTTTTGTCGTTGAATATCTTGTTTTCTCTGTCCATAAGGACTGAGAATTTTGCTGGGTACAGTAGCCTAGGCTGACATCTGTGTTCTCTTAGGCTCTGCATGATATCCATCCAGGCTCTTCAGGCTTTCATAGTTTCTCTTGAGAAGTCAGTTGTGATTCTGATGGGTTTGCCATTATACGTTACTTGGCCTTTTTCCCTTGCAGCTTTTAGTATTTTTTTTTTTTATTCTGTATACTTACTGTTTTGATTATTATGTGACGGAAGGATTTTCTTTTCTGGTCTAATTTATTAGGTGTTCTGTAGGCCTTTTGTATTCTCATAGGCTTCCCCTTTAAGTTGGGGAAATTTTCTTCAATGATTTTGTTGAAAATATTTTCTGGGCCTTGGAGGAGGTAATCTTTTTCCTCTATTCCTATTATTCTTAGGTTTTGTCTTTTTCTGTTGTCTTGGATTTCTTGGATGGTTTGTGTCAGGAATTTTTTAGATTTATTATTTTCTTTGACGGATACATCGATTTCTTCCATTGTATCTTCCACACCTGAGATTCTTTTTTCCATGTCTTGTAGTCTGTTGGTTATGCTTACCTCTGTATTTCCTTAGGTTCTCCCTCTCCTTGATTTTCTCCATTTGTGTTTTCTTTAATTCTTCCAATTCTATCTTCAGATCTTGAACTGTTTTGTTGATTTCCTTTACCTGTCTGACTGTATTTTCCTGTTTTTCCTTAAATTCCTTCAGCTGTTTGTTTGAGTGTTCCTCTGTTTCTTTTATTTCTTTCAGTAACACAGACTGTTTGGCTGCATCTTCCTGTATTTCTTTACGGATGACCATAATCTGTTTTATTTTATCTTCCCCTAATTCTTTATGCATTTTCTTTACTTCCTCCATTAACCTCTTCATTAGCATGGATGTTAGGTCATCGTCTTGAATTTCATTTATGTTAGTGTGTCCAGGGCTACTTGCCCCTGGATAACTGTGTTCTGGGGATGCAATGTTGTTTTGCCTTTTGTTGGTTGTACTTTTTTGATGGCCTCTACCCATCTCTCTGTCTCAGGTGTTGTCTGTTAATTTCTAGTGCCTGCTGAATCCTAGGGTGGGGAGATTCCACTTGGTGGGGTTCTGAAGTTCTCCTCTGCTTTTTGGGTATGGTCAACTGAATAGTGGTGCTTCTCAGGAATTGTCACAGTTCACTTCAGGTGTATGGACCTGTATGGTAACTGTGGTATTCAGGAAGGCTCTCCTCTCCTCAGGAGAGGTCCTGGTGCTGGCTGCCCTGCTGCTGGGATTCTTGCTCTGAATTTATTGAGCAGCAGCAGCTGTTGCTCTTAAGGTGTAATTTTTGGGTGCAGCCTTCTTGAAGGACCAGAGATTTCCACAGTTTTGTCAGTCTAGCTAGGGATAACTGGTTGATCCTTGGCACATTATCAGAGGGCTGTGTAATGGCTCTCTGGCTTTTGTAGGTCTGAGGATGCAGCTGTGTGCCCCAGTGCCCTAGGGGTACTCAATAATGGCAGGTGAGCACAGCACTCCTGCCTGCAGTAGAAGGCTAGAGCCTAGAGTCTGCATGAATCCAGAAAGTCTTTTGGTGCTGTGTGTCCTGAGTGTTAGTCTTGATGATCCCCCTGTTGTTGGGTTTCCTCCTGACAGGGACACCCAGTCTTTGCTTTGGGGACCGCCGTTCTGTCTGGGATAGCGAGTAGAACCCACAGGCACAAAGGCATTTGGCTCTGCTTTTTTGTCCTTTGGGTGTCTGGGCATCTGCCTAAACTGGAAAATTTACCAGAGACCTTTTCAGGGTGGGGGTGTTGGCTGAGTGCTCTGAGATCAGACCAGCCAATTTCCTCCCTGTGGGTTTGCACCCAACAGTGAAACTCAGTCTCTGGTGCCCTGGGGCCCACAGTTCTATCTGGGGCAGCGAATTAGGTGCGCAGGCAGGGCTCTGTGCAGGAGCCTGAGTTCCCTGGCTCTGGCTCTGGGCTGGCTTCTAGGGCGTCCGCAGAACCCGAGTCTTTTCCAGGGGATGTCTGGGTGACCTAAGGTCGGTCCCAATCGTTTCCTGCACCGTGGGGTTATCTCTCGACTGGAAATTGCAGTCTCTGATGTTGTGGTGCACACAGTTCAGCCTGGGACCGTGAACAGAACACACTGGCGTGTGGCTCTGGGCTGGTGACCAAGCGTCTGGTGGAACAGGGATCTCTTCCGCGGTTTAGCCGGGTGAGTTAAAAGCTGATTGAATCCTCCACTGTGGGGTATCCTCTCACCTGGGAAACACAATCACTGTGTTTTATGGCTGCGAGTTCTGATTGCTGGTCACTGTGCCGATCCTGCTGTGCAGCTGGTCAGAATGAGAGTCCTCCCAGCGCCGCCATCTTGCCCCCTCATGCTTATTTTTATTGATGAGCTTTTCATTTGTTCACCTTTTCTTCTTCCAGGTGTCCGGCGCCTCCTCATCGAAAGCTTTTGCTCAATTTGTAAGTACCTCCTTTACTTCCAGCTTTTTTCAAAAGAAGCCTTTCTGCTAGTGATTTCACTGTCCAGCTGCTTAGATGAGACAGCATTGTGAGCTTAATTTCCAATAGGACACTTCCACAGGTAAAATAAAGATCAGCCAGGAATTGTGCAAATGAGTAAGTCATTTTAGGGAACCTCAGCTTTGTAATGAATGCAGAGATATCTCAAAATTTTCTCTCAATTTATTTTACTAAAAAATGTATGTGTAAGTATACACAAGCCTTCCACAGAGGTCCTATGAAAGACTCTAACCAGCAGGGTATTGAAGCAGGTGCTGAGACTCATAGCCAAACTTTGGGCAGAGTGTGCAGAATCTTATGAAAAAAAGGGGAGATAGAAAAACCTGTAGATGACAGGATCTCCACAAGGACAGCAACAGAACCAAAAAAATCTGGGCCTATGGGTCTTTTCTGAGACTGATACTCCAGCCAATGACAATGCATAGAGTCCCTGCACAGATGTAGCCCATGGCAGCTCAGTGTCCAACTGGGTTCCCTAATAAGGGTAACAAGAGTTGTCTCTGGTAAGAACTCAGTGGTTGGCTCTTTGATCACTTACTCCTGAGGAAAGAGCAGTGTTACCAGCCCACAGAGGAAGACAGTGCAGCCAGTCTCAATGAGATCTGACAGGCTAGCATCAAATGAAAGGGGAGGAAGACCTCCCCTATCTGTGGACTTGGGAAAGGGAATGGGAGATGATGAAGGAGGGAGGCTGGTATTGGGAAGGAAGGATGGAGGGGGTTGCAGCTGGGATAAAAAGTGAATGGACTGTAATAAATAAAAATAAATAAAAATGAAAAAAATAAGCATAAATGTAAATATTCTGTGACTTAAACTTTTAAAAATTGCCATAGGGGAATAACTTTGCTGTCCTGATCATGCTCATTGGAAAACAGTTTCTTTGGTATTCTTCATTGAGCATGCTTTTAGGATATATCAAAGAGGAAAGAATTTTATTGTAATGAAGTCCACAGATTGAATAGGGCTAACCTAAACTGTCTTTGTGTCAGGTATTAGAATGGGAGACAAATTGTGTCTTTCAGTGCTCCCAAATGCTAGGAAATACATAAGATTTCTTTTACTTGATCTTGTTCAATAAAAGAACAGGTTTAGCAGTTGGAGTAGGTTCTTTCTGCTTGATAGTTGTATGCTATCAATTCTAAGTGAATCACTGTGAAAAAAGAAAACAATTAAGTAATGTCTTAATATAACAAAGTGCAACTATAAAATGTGTTCCCGGATTTTCAGTAAATCTGTACTCATGTTATCCTCTTGACTTATGTGCTTCTTTTCCTTCTTTATTTAGGTTGTTAAGTTTTAAAATTCCCAATATTCTTAGTGATCTATTGAAGTTTCACAAAATATCTATTAATTTTAAATAATAGACATATTAAATAACATAGTTACACAAATATGTTTAAATATTATGTTTGTAAATAAACACATATTGATATTTTGTATTTTAAATTCTTCTTTGTTTGTCCCTTTTTTAAGATGCCCAGATTTGATTATTAATTTTGTCATGTGTAATTCAATTTCATTGAGAATTTATGATTAACTTGAATGGTATATTTGTATATATTCAGTGTTGCTAGAAAGAAGGCTCAACTTTTGCAATGCCTAGTTTAAGTAAATATATCAGCTTTGAGCCACAGGAAACAAGAGAACTTAAAGATAGATGGGTATGCACTATGACTTTGGTTCAAATCTTAGAAGAAAATTATATTTAAAAATCTTACTGTTTTTTTTTTCAAACTTATTTATTTATTTATTTTTATTATTAGTTACATTTTATTAACTCTGTATCCTGGCTGTATCCCACTCCCTCATTCCTTCCCAATCTCACCCTCCCTCCCTCATCTCCTCCCTGCCCCTTTCCAAGTCCACTGATAGGTTGGACCTCCTCCCCTTTCATCTGACCCTGTTTTATCAGGTATCTTCAGGACTGGCTGCAAAGTCCTCCTCTGTGGCCTAGCAGGACTCTTCCTCTCTTGGGGGGTAGGGAGGTCAAAGAGCCTCACATTGAGTTCCTGTCAGAGATAGTCCTTGTTCCCCTTACTATGGCAAACCGATTGGTTATTGAGCTACCACGAGCTTCATCTGAGCAAAGGTTCTAGGTTATATACATACATGGTCCTTGGTGGAGTGTCAGTCTCAGAAAAGACCCCTGTGCCCAGATATATTTGTTCCTTGTGGAGCTCCTATCCTTTCCTTGTCATACTAACTCCTCCTTCTTTCATATGATTCCCTGAACTCTCCGAAAATTTGGTTATGAGTCTTAGTGGTTTTTTTTTTTTTTTAAGATTTTACTTCAAAACATTTAATTTTGGTGTGGGTATGCAGACAAGATAATAAGTAGTAAGAGAGGAAACTGTTCACAAGCAAAAACTTATATGAAAAACAATATGAGATTATAGAACTCATGAGGAAAAGTAGATTAAAATTATGTCACTCCTTAAATTTGAGTTTCTACAACAATCACTTTAAAATTACATATCTATTAAAGCATTCATATTCTGGTCATGGGATTCTTTTGCTATATTATTAATTACAAGTAATTTTATTTCTATTTCAACTTCTACAGGCAATAGAACTTAACAGAAATAAAGAATTGGTTCTCAGGAATTTCACCAGCTGCCACACTTCTTCCCTCAATCCACCAAAAACAAAAGAAGAAGCCAGACAGACCACAGTGAGTCTTTAACTTATGGTTTTATCCTAAACAACTTAAGCAGTAGATAGGTTTGTCATTCTGTAGCTTATAAGCATTATAATAGATGTAGTACTCATTCCTTCTGCAAAATCTAAAAAAAGCAAGTAATGAAAAAATCATCTTCTATAGTTGATGAACAATGAAAAATATTTTATTTACTTACCCAGCATTGCTATAAATTATCCATTTAGAAGTCAAATACAATTTTATTTACTACATATGACCAATAGGCTCAGAAATACCATATAATGTCCCTTGGGATGAAACTATGCTCTTAAGTGTGAAGGTAGGATCAACTTACAATGGCACCTATAATTTATAATTCTTACAATGTATACTATCTGATTCCTAGCCATAACTTATTTTGAACCGATTTGATCTAAAAGTCATATTGAAGTAACAAGAGAAGTGAAGAAGAGGAAGCCATGGAATTTGTTGAAACATCAGCAGATACTTCACAAATTACTGTATTAACTTCACTCCACTGTCACGACAGAATGTAATATTATTGCACTAAATAAAAAAAGTAAATTGAAGATTATTTTAGGTTAATGCAAAACTCTTACCAGAGGCATGCACAGTAAGTGGTGAAATCTTTTCTTCCAACTCAAGCACTCACTATTCACGATATGCCAAAATGCTCCCAGGATCCATCACCATTTTTACTGTTTCTTCCCTTCATATCTTTATAACTTTTCCTTTGCATCAGCCACTGGACTTCTCCACTATTTATTTTTGTTGCCACTGGAGTAGCTAAAGGGTATCAAACATATCAAGTATTTTAAATCAAATATGAGCTATGTGTATGATCCTTGCGTTGAACACATACAGGGAGGTCAAACTACAGTGAGATTCCCATGATGCTCATAATGAAGGCCACATCTTCCATTAGTCTTCTCCTGCTCCTGCTGAAAGATGGCTGCAAGGGCATGGAGGGAAGCAGAATGAGGATTGCTCATTTCTAAATGCCATGTTTTCTTTATGAAATCTTTCTTCTTGTATTCCAAAATAACCTAATAACTTTAAATAAGTAAAACTGTGAATAATCAAAGTGGAGTGATGAATCTAAGTCAAAATGCTTGCACCACTTAACCTTAACATTAGTGAGAATTGATTTTCTGAATCAGATCCCATTGGCATCTACTGAATAGCAACAAAGTTTTTTTTTTAAACAGCAAAATTTTTAATTCTCATCAACAAGTGATAAAACCATATAGACAAGGCCTTACATAGGAATATCAAATGGTACACTTTCCAAATTAAAATACGATAAAAGCAGCATGATGGTGCATTAGAAAAAGTAGTCACTATTTAACACATTGAATCACTTAAGAAAATATAGGAGAATGGTTGAAGTTCAATGACTGTGCATAATTACATCTTCAGAAGTATTCTACATCCCATAAGAATAATGAATAAATATTTTAGTTCTACTTCACTGACTTAAACCAAATCTTGCTCCTGCTTATCTTATTTCTTATTGTTTCAAAGTTGCCAAACTTTGTGAGAATGCTACTAAGTATACTGCATGCATGGAAAGACCCTCTGATCTACATGGAGATGGAACTCCAGAATATGACATCAGCCCAATTTCCTACCCTTTTAAGAGTCGACTACATTAAGATAAAAAGCCAAATCCTTTTGGATCGCATCGTGGGGATTGCCAAGAGGGTGAGACATATTCTTACATTTCTTTTTTTTTCTTCTTCTTGAATGATGTGGCACCTGTGGTGAATCATAAATTTTGACACAACTCACTGCAAGAACAAAATTGTATGTGTTCAGTCTTGTATGCAGCCTGGCCACTAAGGGACATAGCTATTCCTCACAATCACTGGGACAGTACCTTTCCTGAAGAAGTGAATTTTTCCCAACTATGTTACAACTACCGTTCCTGGCCTCTGTGCATCTCAAGTGAAAAAAGTGTTAATATCTGACCTTTTCCAAGCACAAGCCAGTGCTGTAGTGTCAGTTTCCTGGTCCTCTGTGTAACTTGTCACAAAATAATATACTTTATCCAGATTGAATTTCATCTATGAAAATGTATACTTGAATCTTGTCTGTAGTTTGTAGGTGAGCACCTGGGCTTAGGTGCAAGAAAATTCATGACTCTGGAGGAAGAAAATATTGTTGACATTTTATTAATATAAATCATACTTACAAGTAAAGAGAACAATCAAATAAAACAGTAATAATACAACTAACCATCCATTTCTCATTAGGTTAAACATGGACTTGAAGAAATTGGAGAATACCCTGTTTATACAGAGCTTGCAATGTTACAGTCAGGCAACAAAGATTCAAGATTTTTTGCTCTTTATAAATTGATCTTCTGCCTAGCTCTTGACATTCAGAAGGTTGAAAATTATCTCAAACACTTGAGATGTATGTATTTTGGTGGTTTCATGTGTGAAGAATACGAACGTGGTCTCCCATGATTGATATCTTGAAAGTTTCTTTTAATTTTCTGCCTTTGAAGCTCTTTGTATAACACAACCATCATCAAAAATAAATAAATAAATAAAAATTAAAATAAATCTTCAAACGTTTGGAAGTATAATAGTGCAATTATCATTACCTTGGTTCATTTAGTATTAATTGAATTACTATCAGGAACACTTCGAACACAAAGAAGAGATGCTTGATGGTAAGAGAGAGAACTGATGTAAGAATCACTGCATGTCAATATGGATCAATAATAAAATCAAAGAGTAAGAACACTATTAAAACTATAGTATTAGTGGCTTCCTTCTTCTTACAAAGGCTCCCTCCAATTGTGAATTGTGTGGCTTGGTTCTGGCATGTGTTTGTCCTCAGTAACTAAAAACAAGGAAATCATGAAATTTGCAGGCAAATGGTAGGAACTAGAAAAGGTTATCCTGAATGAAATATCCCAGAAGTAGAAAGACACACAGTATATACTCACTTCTAAGTAGATATTAGACATATAATATAGGATAAAAATACTAAAATCTGTACAACTAAAGAAGCTAAGCAAGAAGGAGGACCCTGGGTGAGATGATCAATCCTCATTCAGAAAGGCAAACAGGATGGACATCAGAAGAGGAAGAAACCAGGGAACAGGACAGGACCCTACCAGAGAGCTCCTTTGAAAGACTCTACCCTGCAGGGTATTAAAGCAGATGCTGAGACTCATAGCCAAACTTTGGGCAAAGTGCAGGGAATCTTATGGAAGAAGAGGGAGATGAAAGACATGGAGAGGACAGGAGCTCTACAAGGAGACCAATAAAACAAAAAAAAAAAAATCTGGGCACAGGGGTCTTTTCTGAGACTGATACTCCAACCAAGGACCATGCATGCAGAGGACATAGACCCCCTGCACAGATGTAGCCCATGGCAGCTCAGTGTCCAAGTGTGTTCTCTAGTAAGGGTAACAGGGGCTGTCTCTGACATGAATTCAGTGGCTGGCTCTTTGATCACCTCCCCCTGAGGAAGAGCAGCCTTACTAGGCCACCAAGTAAGACAATGCATCCAGTCCTGATGAGACTAGGGTCAGATGGAAGGAGAGAAAGACTTCCTTTATCAGTGGACTTAGGGAGGGTAATGGGAGGAGATGAGGGATGGAAGGTGAGACTAGGGGGTGAAGATGGAGGGGTCTACAACCAGGATTCCCTGTCAGTGGCAAGTGACTCTCTCATGAAGCACATTGGTGTTTTTCCAAGATATCTACTGGAAAGATGACTCAAGCTATTGTTCCTTAATAAAGATATATTACGTTGATGGATTCTTCTATCCACTACACAGGCCATACATCTGCATTATCCTTTTGATCGCCTGTCATGAAGGTTCCTTTATCCAAAATCCACAGTACTAGAGAAAAGTGATCAAAGTGCCCTGCCTGATAAACTGGCACAAGAATTTTCTGCAGCAAGACAACTACAAAGTGGAATGGCAACAGCATAGGATTATTGTTAAATCCCTACTGGGGTCTCTACCAACTTTTTTCTTCCTGTTCCTGTGGATTCAGACAAGCTCAGCAACCCGAGTAATAACATGCTTTTGGTCCTTTCTTTTAAATCCCATGTGTACTTTTGTCTGAGAACAATCTCCTTAGAGTCATTCAGTCAGACATTAGTAGGACACTAGTACTAATAAGACCCAAAGAAAAATTAATATATTAAATATGTTTCAGTCTGGGAGAGTTGTGGTTTGATTAATGAGGGCTCAACTTTTCAAATGTTTCTTAAGCATCTTAGAATGTGGGCTCACATCATTGTCAGATCTCCCAAAAGGAAACTGGGTAACAACAGTTGATTTTCAATAATGTCAGGGATTTAGAAGGATTTCCAGTCAGTGAGGGCCAGTCCAGACAGCATCCTGACAGAGGAAAAACTCAAAAACTGGGTTGAAATGAAGAAAATATAACTAAGCAGCAAAAAGCAATAAAGAAAGGACTAAACGGAAGAAACCAGTAAAAAGACATGGTATAAAGGATACCATTCTGGTTAGATTTGGTACTAAATTGACACAAGTCAGAACAATCTGAGATGAACATAGACTGAGAAATGCCTCAGTAATATTGGATTGTGGGCAAGTTTTTATAGTATTTTCTTGATTAATTATTGGTGATGCCACCTTTGGGCATGTGATCATGGATTCTATACAAAGACATGCTGAGCAATCCACTTAGCATTGTCCCTACTTGCCTTTTGCTTCAAGTCTTATCTTAAGGTTTGTGCCATGAGTTCTTGCCATAACTTCCCTTCATGATGAAGTGTAAACTGTAATCATAAATAATTTCTTTCCTCAATGAATTACTTTTAATCACAGTGTTTTGCAAAAGCAATAGAGACACTAACTACAAAAGATAACATGCTCTTATGATACCAAATTTCATTAACACCTGATACTACATAAAATTTTAAGCCCTCATAATAAATTTTTAATCATTCTCCTTTCCAAATTTCTTTTTCTTCTTTCACGTGCTTCATGACACTTTCACTGCATTAAAAGTAGTTTTCCTTGTGAGCTCCTGTTCCATCTCAGTCCTTCCATTCTCCAACTCTTCCATAAGACCTAGAGTGCTCTACCCAGAGTTTGGCTATGACTCTCAGCATCTGCTTTGAGCCCCTGCTGGGTCGAGTCTTATAGAGGACTCTGTGGTAGGCTCCTCATCTGTTCCCTTTTTCAGCCAAATCCAGTGTCTATTCTGTTTTCCCTTCTGAATGAGAATTAAGCATCCTCTCTAAGGTCCTCCTTTTTATTTAGGTTCTTTAGATCTATTTTTTTCTTGTTATATTTTAGTATGGTTATCCTATATTATATGCCTATTATCCACTTATAAGTCTGGTTCTGCATGTCTCTCTGGCTCTGGATTACCTCACTCAAAGTAATCTTTTCTAGTTCCATCCATTTGTCTGCAATTTTAATAATTTCCTTGTTTTTAATAGCTGAGTGGTATTCCATTGCGTAAATATACTACAATTTCTTTATCCATTCTTCAGTTGAAGTACATCTAGGTTGTTCTCAGATTCTGGCTATTACAGCTAAAGTTGTAATGAACATAGTTGAGCAAATGTCCTTGTGTATGGTAGAACATATTTCCAGTATATGCCCATGAGTGGTATAGCTAGGTATTGGGGTAGTGTTATTCCCAATTTTCTGAAAAGGAGACATATTGATGTCCAAAGTGTTACACAGGGAGGCCAGCAAAGCCAACAAATCTGGTCCCAGGTGTGCCTGCAGAGACTGATGCACCAACCAAGACTATGCATGAAGAGGACATAGACACATTGCTCAGATGTAGCCCATAGGTATCTCTGTCTCCATGTGGGTTCCCTAGTAAGGAAAGAAGGGATTGTCTCTAACATGGATTACATTGCCCACTCTTTGATCACTTTGCCTCGGTGGGGAGGCCTTGGCAGGCCATAGAGGAAGAGGATCCAGGCAGTCCTAATGAGATTTCACAGGCTAGGTCAGATGGTAGGGGAGGAGGGCTCCACCATTCTATGATCTAAGGGAGGAAGATAGGGAAAAGGGGGAGGAATGGTGAGACCAGGAGGAGACAACAGAGGGGGCTACAATTGGGCTATAAAGTGAAGAAATATAAATAAAAGCAGTTCTTTATCCATTTAGTTACTAGAGCTCCAGAAAAAAAAAATCAAAAGTATACCAGTCTCCACATCAGAAGTCAAGAAAAAAATCATACTGCATAGTAGAAATTCATGATATTTATTAGACAACAGCTTAAGTCAATCAATGCTTTCCTCGGAGATACATATTTGTCCCACCTAAATTGGCCTTCTTTCCTGACTGTGATTATCATCATCAGAATACCACCAATGACCATGCTCTAAACTAACCTACCAGCCCCTCTATTTTTACCTTGAATGCATCCAAAATAATTATTCTCTCATATGTTTCAGTGTTTTTACTTCAAAAGGCATGTGTGTATGATGAAATATATCTATCTATATATTACATATCTAAATTGTTGTTTGTCAAAAGAACCTAACTCCATGGCTTTTCATTTCCTGTCAACATTCATATTTCCAGTACAGAAGACGGCTACTCAGGGAGGAAATTTGACAATGAATCACAGCTCAATTTCAGAAAATGTAAATTTTCAGTTTTTGCATAAAGCATGAGATTTAAAATTGTAGTTAATCACTCATATATGACGGAGAAAGACCTGTGCTTAAAAATGACACATAATTCAAATTAAAGTTTTTATGGACGAGTGAGGACAGTCTTAAGCACTACATATATTTAGCAGAGTTGTGAGAAAGGATATTTCAGAAGGACATAACAAACATTCTCTCTTCAATGAAGGTGTGTATAGTTTCTTTGTTTAATTTCAATATAGAGTAACTTTTGAAGAAATGGTCCTGGTATTATAGAAATATTGGCTATAGCATCAAAAGAGAAATAATGGAACACTACAAATCAATTGATCTAATAATACAAGAAATTGTACATAATGGGCACTAAACAGACCAAACAACAGGTTCAAAATATCCAGCTAATGAGAGTTTATCTGGCCATGTTGGAAAACTTACAAAATATGCAAATTGCTGCAGCAATGTCAAGGTAGTGAATACTGTTAAATAAAGAATAAATCAGTCAAAAAACCAGTAAGGAAATAACTATATTACTATTTTTTTTCAAATTTGAAAATTTGTCAAAATAAGAAGACGTATCGACAAATCTACAAATGTGTTGCCTTCTTTCTACTAGATAGGCATACGCAAACCTTGATTAAGGAGAACTGAGCTATAATGTCAGGCATGAAGGAGCAATCAAGAGATAATTTTTATTCTTTTATTTTAATTTAAAGCTGCTATATTAATATTTTGCTTTCATATAAGTACATGTGAAGTCATCAGAATAAAGAAACCAATGTTCTGTAACTGGAGCCACCATGTGGGTACGAATATTGAACCTAGACCTTCTGTAAGAGTACCAAGTATTCTTAACC